ACCCAAAACTGTATGCTAGCAGAAATATGATACGTAACATAAGGCTATACATGAATTATTTTGCACAATTTCCTTTAAATCGTTCTGATGAGAGGTTTTTGAAAAAATTGGCCAGGTCACTAAAAAAATAATACTTTTGTTTTTTATTGTTAAACCTTTAATTTAAGAGGAAAATTCTAAAATTAGATTTATTTCTGATTGATACATGCATACTAAGAGAATAAAAAGTTTGCAGCAGAAATATTTCTTCAGTGACATTTCTCCTTTTTCAAATGAAGAATTCAGGAAACACCCCACTATTTGTGTAACACGTATCACAATGTAGTTCATGGGATTTACCTCTATCTGTGATGGGCACACCCAACCCACGATTCCGAGGATCCCATGTGCAAAGCAAAGCCTGTCCATTTTTAAAGCATCAATTCTGACACTTGCAGGCTCAGTGCTGATTTGTAGTTCTCCTATTCCCAAGTGTCATTCCACGGCCCAGAGAGGTGAGCAACAAGGACGCTGGTGGCTTGTCTCATCTGAAAGGGTGACTTGTGGAGGTGTTCTGGGTTTACCGTTGAGTGAAGCTGCTAAGGAGTGTTATAATTCCCACATCATGTACAGGATACAGGAGTGTACATGGGATATCTTTACCCATCAGGTACAAGTTGCACCTCTGAAGAGCAGAAATAATCCTCTTTCATTCCATAACCTGTATTTACATTCATTCATCCATTCATTTGAATCACTTGGGGGCTGGACGTAATCGTGTGTGCCGATGTGTGACTTGGGTGCTGGGAGAAGTGACGTCTCTGCTCTATAGGGACATTTTAATTTCACACTCAGTGGGAGGAGACAACCAATTAATAAGCAAGCAAATAGGATCATTGTCAGGTGCCAGAAGTGCTCAGTGTGTAGGATGATGTGTTGGGGCATGCTATGCAGAGGCGAGACATTGGTCAGGGAAAGCCCTCTGAGTAAAGGCCGCTTCTGATGTCATAAGCATCTGCGGGGCAAGCATAAGATCCTGAGTTAGATCCCCAGCACCTAAAAAGGAAAAAACCAGATGGGTTAGAGTTAGGGCTCTTGGGAGGCTGCAAACAAACAGGAGGATCACTATAAGTCCGATCTACACAGTGAGACCCTATAGGCCCTGTGGACCCTTCCCTAAAATACAAAAAAATTAAAAAGGCCACTGCTGAGACTGGAATATGTGGAGGAAGGAGCTTCTAGGAAGAGAAATCATGACCTGCCCGTCCTGTATAGGAGGCTCTCACACAGCGTGTACTGAGCCGACGTAGGAAGACCATCGAGCCACCCAAGGCAGCAGAGGCTGAGCGGGGCCATGCAGTAGAAGAGAAGACAAATAGCCTTCTGAGCCCATCAGTAAGACAAACAACAGACAGGAATCTGCTCTCGAGTCAAGTGTGTCAGGAACGCAGAAGTTCCCAGTGACCAAATCCAAGCACAGTGAGGGAGGCAACCAGAATGAGGGTTAGAAAAAGGGACATTTGCCACCACGGCAAAAGTTTGATCTTCCAACCAAAATTGGCAAAAAGTCAGTAGAGAGCACAGCCCTCTCCTACCACACCTCGGCGTCACGGTGCTTGTTTTCTTTTGTTAAATGAGGATTCGTAAGAATAAACTTGCCGCTCATCCAGTTCCACCAAGATTTACCCGTGATGCACGCTTATTAAACAAATCGTTGATAGTGAGCAAGACAGATACTCATTATTCACCCCGATCACCCATATTATGGCTGCCTCACACTGTCTGTCTGTCTGTCTGTCTCTCTCTCTCTCTCTCTCTCTCTCCCCCCCCCACCCTACCCCACCTCAATTGCTGGTGGCAAGCAGCACCACTTAAGTCAAGCGAACAGTTTCAAATGCATAATATTAAAATGTGGTTTTTAGACCTCCTTGGAACCCTCAGCCATTGTTCAAATACATACATTTTGACAGAGGCTTTGGCACTTTTTTATGAAGCTTTTCAATGCGTTACCTTATCGGGTGCATGAGATTTCGTCTGTTCTGCCGAAGAAAACAGACAAAAAGGGTCTCTCAGCACGAGCTACTCTTCTGTAAAGGTTATAGTAAACATGTCAATGCCTAATTAAGCAGAAAATTTTATCTGTATCATGGGGGAGGCGTGCACTGTCTCTGACTTTCCTTCTGGGGAATCCATTTAGAAGGACAAAGTAGATTGTGAGGTTGAGCTGGTCTGGAAAGCTCAGCTTCCAAATGTCAGCAGAAACAAAAAACAACAAAAAAAACAGCACTTCTCCTCTTGTGGTTTGAAGATGACAAGATTGGCTGTGCACATTGTGTGTGTGTGTGTGTACCCATATCTTTGTGTGTACGTGTGCAGAGGGGATTTACATATATACTTCATCAGCACACAATATGAAACACAAATCACCTCCCACCAACTTCCTAGTGAGTACCAGGCACCGTGCCAGGCACTAAGCTAGTGAATAATACCCAGCAATACCTTTAACCAGTGATAGAAAGTGCACTTCACTCCCCCAGATTTCTTCACTGGTTGTGTGTGTGTGTGTGTGTGTGTGTGTGTGTGTGTGTACAGACATACTCATGAGCACTTGTGTGCGCATGCATGCTTGCACACACTTTGTTGCCGTGATCACATTGCCCATAATTATGATGATTTTGTCTCTTCACCTGGAATAGTTCTGCCTAATGCCTGTTTCTGCAGTATCTATCACCACTGAAAAGCTCTCATTTTTCAATGGTGCCCTAGCTGATTAAAATTTGCCTCACGTTGTCCTCAAAATGACTTGCTTGACGAATAAAAGTCACCTGATTCTGGAAGCCCCTTACTTGGCTCAGTAACTACTCACTTGTTGATTTTATTACAGGAGCTTTCTGTGTGAGCTTAACGGTGTAACTGCTTCGCCAACACGTAAGTTAGGGAAAGAGAAGGTCTTAAGAATGCAGGAGAGTGTGCTTTGGTCCTTCAGCGTCCTTCCACTAGTTTCCTTGCAGATAGTGACCACTGTTTAATGGCTCTTTGACCTGCGTAAGTAATTCTGTTTCTCCAAGTCAATTTGTGGAACCTGCCAATGCCAACTTAATAAAAAAATCCACTTCTCAAGTGGACGGAACAGCAAAAACACCACCAATAACAATAAAGTAACAAACACAACCATAAAGCTCTCTGCTACCCTGAGTTTCTATGTTTCATCTTGTTTTATTGTGTCATGAATTCATGGGCTCTTGTCTCCTGTGTTCCCACAATTCTCCTTTCCGGGGTGGTTATCTAGTTAGTGACATTTCGATTGAATTTCACTGCTTAACCTTTCACCTTTAGGTCCCAGTAAACTTTTCTTATTCATTGGGCTAGTGACAGAGACAGAGTGGACCTACTCGGAAAGACAGGATTGGCTCATCACACAGACTTAGGTTCCGGGTGTGGTCTTACAGTCCTAGCTGTGGGAACCCGTGTGATCCTTTCAGCCTCCGCACCTATATGATAACAGCAGTACCTACATCGTGGGGCTATTAAGATGAAAGGGAGAGAACGTGTTTGCAGCAGCTGGCTTGCTTCCCAGGAATTAGTAATTCTGCAGTTGCCTTGTCCGTCCTCATCGCTCCCGCCACCCACCCTCTTCCTGCCCAACCCCTTCTCTTCAGACTCTCTCTGCCTGCCTCCATGGAGGACAGCTCCATTTCCAGACTTCACCTTTGGTGGACAGAAATGCCACCACCTGCTCTAGGGCTTTTTCCAATGAGCTACCCATTGCCAAAAGAAAAATCCAAGCATGCAAAGAAAATACTGCAGTGAGATCACACAACTTGTGCACATCCAAGGCTCAGTCTCCCCTGCTGTTGTTCACATGGTCCAAAAGGCCAGGTGGAGAAAATAAACCCATGGCATAAACAGCCACGTTCCCCATCTCCACTGATGGATATTTGCCCGTTAATTCCCTTTACACACACATTCTCTCTCTCCCATGTCTTCATCTTCCCTACGCAATTACTAGTCCTAAATCCTTTCAGAAAAGAGAAAGCGTGCATTCCCAATATCATTTTGCATCTACAAATCAAATGTATAATTGACACCTCATGACAGCACCCCACAAATCACAACACATTTGAAATTACAAGAACAAGATTGAAAGGGCATTTTCAGCCTTGTCTGAAAAGATCTTCATAAACCTCTTTGAGAATAATAGGGCAGTCCCCAAATGTCCCATTCTAACACCATTTGTGATTATTTTAAAATCATTATATTTCCTGACTGGACATAATTTTTTGGCTATTGGTAGAAGATTTTATTTGCGTACTCCATAATCTCTCTTCCTGCGGTGCAACTCTCTACAAATAAAGATGTTGTAATGAAAGGACACTGCCTAGCAAAATATATGGACCATGCGCCCTAATTTCTTTTTCGTACTCAAAATCCAATACATAGACATGAGTACACAGCAATGTGTCTGAGCATTTTGGAAAAATCCACCCTTGTGATGCCAAGGGCCAAAGCTGGGCTTTCATATGAACCCGTATCATGACCTATTTTACTTTCGTAGGGTTTGAGTTGCAACTGAGACTCCTGAAAGCTATATATGAATTCAGCAACTGTCCCAGTGTAGGAATCATTAGGGAGTGATATTTGTTTAACAAAAAATTATTAACTTGGGATGCTAGTCATTTGGAGAAGATTGTGACACCTGCCAATTTTTTTTAAAAGCAGTAAATGGCAAAAGACTTCACTTGGTTTCTTCATTTCCATGTGTTTTTGTTTTGTTTGGTTTGGTTTTTGGTTTTGTTTTGTTTTTGATGGTACCAGGGATCAAACTCAGGACCTTGAACTTGCCAGGCAAGCACTTATTCCACTGAACTATCTCCCCCGCCCCCTGCTTCCTTGTCTTGAGCTTCATAAATGTGTAGATCTGACTGCTAGTCAGTTGAGCAGGGAAACTTAGCCTCTGTGGGCGCCCTGGGAAGGAAAGTGCATGCACTGGCATTATCTCATCTCTCCTCCTTCTCTTGCAGGCTACGCCCAGGAGGAACAGCTGAAGGAAGAGGAGGACATAAAAGAAGAAGAGGAGGAGGAGGAGGACAGCAGCTCAGTGGCTCAGCCGCAGGGCAGCAATGACACGGGGACAGATGAGGAGCTAGAGACAGGCCCCGAGCAGAAAGGCTACTTCAGCTGCCAGAACTCTCCAGGAAGTCACCTGTCCAACCAGGACGCTGAGAACGAGTCTCTCCTGAGTGATGCCAGCGACCAGGTGTCGGACATCAAGAGCGTCTGTGGCCGGGATGCCCAGGACAAGAAGGCGAACGCGCACCCCAAGCTTCCGCCGCACGAAGCGCACAATTGCATGGATAAAATGACCGCGGTCTACGCCAACATCCTGTCTGATTCCTACTGGTCAGGCCTGGGTCTTGGCTTCAAGCTGTCCAGTAGCGAGAGGCGGAACTGCGACACGCGGGGCAGCAGCAACAAGGGCGACTTTGACTGGCACCAGGACGCGCTCTCCAAAAGCCTGCAGCAGAACTTGCCTTCCAGATCCGTCTCTAAGCCCAGCCTCTTCAGCTCGGTGCAGCTGTACCGGCAGAGCAGCAAGATGTGTGGCAGCGTGTTCACCGGGGCCAGCAGGTTCCGCTGCCGGCAGTGCAGCGCTGCCTATGACACCCTGGTCGAGCTGACTGTGCACATGAATGAAACGGGCCACTATCAAGACGACAACCGCAAAAAGGACAAGCTAAGACCCACGAGTTATTCAAAGCCCCGGAAAAGGGCTTTCCAAGATATGGACAAGGAGGATGCTCAGAAGGTCCTGAAATGTATGTTCTGCGGGGACTCCTTCGACTCTCTCCAAGATTTGAGCGTTCATATGATAAAAACAAAGCATTACCAAAAAGTGCCTTTGAAGGAGCCAGTACCAACCATTTCGTCGAAAATGGTCACTCCGGCGAAGAAGCGTGTTTTTGACGTCAATCGGCCTTGTTCCCCAGATTCAACCACCGGATCCTTTGCGGATTCGTTTTCTTCTCAGAAGAACGCCAACTTGCAGTTGTCCTCCAATAACCGCTATGGCTACCAGAACGGTGCCAGCTACACCTGGCAGTTCGAGGCCTGCAAGTCCCAGATCTTGAAGTGCATGGAGTGCGGAAGCTCACATGACACCCTGCAGCAGCTCACCACCCACATGATGGTGACGGGCCACTTTCTGAAGGTCACCAGCTCTGCCTCCAAGAAGGGGAAGCAGCTGGTGTTAGACCCACTGGCAGTGGAGAAAATGCAGACGCTGTCGGAGACCCCGAACAGTGATTCTCTGGCTCCCAAGCCATCGAGTAATTCGACGTCTGACAGCACAGCCTCTACCACTGAGTTAAAGAAAGAGAATAAAAAAGAAAAGCCAGAGGAAACCAACAATGAAGAGAAAGTCGTGAAGAGCGAGGAATATGAAGATCCTCTACAAAAACCTTTAGATCCTACCATCAAATACCAGTATCTAAGGGAGGAGGATTTAGAGGATGGCTCAAAGGGTGGAGGGGACATTCTGAAGTCACTTGAAAATACTGTGACCACAGCCATCAACAAAGCCCAGAATGGTGCTCCCAGTTGGAGCGCCTACCCAAGCATCCACGCGGCCTACCAGCTGTCAGAGGGCACCAAGCCGCCCTTGCCCATGGGATCCCAGGTCCTGCAGATTCGGCCCAACCTCACCAACAAGTTAAGGCCCATTGCACCAAAGTGGAAAGTGATGCCTCTCGTGTCTGTGCCCACAAACCTGGCCCCCTACACTCAAGTGAAGAAGGAGTCCGAAGACAAAGACGAGGTGGTGAAGGAGTGTGGGAGAGAGAGTCCTCGTGAAGAGGCATCCTCGTTCGGCTACAGTGAGGGGGACTCTTTCTCCAAAAGCGAACCACCCTCAGAACCCAAAAAGGCAGAGCCATGTACCCTGAAAGAAGAGGACAAACTGATGAAAGAAAGTAGTGAGAAAGAGAAGCCACCATCCTTAGAGCCTGTGTCTTCTCTTAGTAATGGTTGTGCCCTTGCCAACCACGCTCCGGCCCTGCCGTGCGTCAACCCTCTCAGCGCCCTGCAGTCCGTCTTGAACAATCACCTGGGCAAGGCCACAGAGCCCTTGCGCTCCCCATCTAGCTCCAGCCCGAGCTCAAGCACAATTTCCATGTTTCACAAGTCCAACCTCAGCATCATGGACAAGCCAGTCCTGAGTCCTGCCTCCTCGAGGCCGGCCAGTGTGTCCAGACGCTACCTGTTTGAGAACAATGACCAACCCATCGACCTGACCAAGTCCAAAAGCAAGAAAGCCGAGTCCTCGCAAGCACAATCCTGCACATCCCCACCTCAGAAGCACGCTCTGTCTGACATTGCCGACATGGTCAAGGTCCTCCCAAAAGCGACCACCCCCAAGCCTGCCGCTTCCTCCAGGGTTCCTCCTATGAAGCTCGAGATGGATGTCAGGCGCTTCGAGGATGTCTCCAGCGAGGTCTCCACTTTGCATAAAAGGAAAGGCCGGCAATCCAACTGGAACCCCCAGCACCTCCTGATTCTGCAAGCCCAGTTTGCCTCGAGCCTCTTCCAGACATCTGAGGGCAAATACCTGCTGTCCGACCTGGGCCCACAAGAGCGCATGCAAATCTCCAAGTTTACAGGACTCTCCATGACCACAATCAGTCACTGGCTGGCGAATGTCAAGTACCAGCTTAGGAAAACAGGTGGGACAAAATTTCTGAAAAACATGGACAAGGGACACCCCATCTTCTACTGCAGTGACTGCGCATCCCAATTCAGAACCCCTCCCACCTACATCAGTCACTTAGAGTCTCACCTGGGTTTCCAAATGAAGGACATGACCCGCATGGCCGTGGACCAGCCAAGCAAGGTGGAGCAAGAGATCTCCCGGGTGTCGTCGGCTCAGAGATCTCCGGAAACCATAGCTGGCGAAGAGGACACAGACTCTAAATTCAAGTGTAAGTTGTGCTGTCGGACTTTTGTGAGCAAACACGCGGTCAAACTCCACCTAAGCAAAACGCACAGCAAGTCACCCGAACACCACTCACAGTTTGTAGCAGACCTGGATGAAGAATAGCTCCGCAGGTATGGGTTTGCTCCCAGGCGATGGCCGCAGCAGCCTCGTGAGGAGCTCGCTGAAAGGAGATGCGTCTGCCTAGAGGCAGCTGGCATCTCCCAAGGCCAAGCAGGACAGTAGCTTGCTGCCGTAGACTTATTTTTATGAAAGACCAGAACATGCTAAATAAGGCTAACCTTTCTCTTAAGTCCTCCAGTGTAGAGTGGGGAACTAGAGTAAGATGGGTTTAGAGAGACGAAGTCCACAGATGATGCGGCTTCTAGGCCTTCATGGTACCCGAGCCCCTTAATACCCAAGACCCAACCTCCAGGGTCCAGCCAAGGCTGCCCCTTCATAGCAATGAATAAGCGCTAGCTGCTTTCTGCATTCTGTTTCTCCACCCCACCACCCCTTAGCTGTGCTAACAACTTACAGAGTGCTACAAAGGAGAGCAAGAGAACAAAGATGGGAGAGTTGCTAAGGGCAGTCACTAGACAGAGCTGTCTTAATCAGCTCGTAAATAGCTCAAAGCTGTCTTTACTATTTTTACATGTAATTAGTGCTTTTTGCAGCTTACTTTTTAGCAAGTGCTACCTTCCACTTCCTTCCCTTTATTTCCTACATCAATTTTCCTATATAACAGCATGCGTCCTTAAGGAGATGATAGAGGAATATTCTTCTCAACCGATCATTAAAAATGAGAGAGAGAAGACTATGTTCTTCTCACATCTTTTGTTTTCTTTAGGGCAGACTACTATCAGAGTCCACCTTTGGCAAAAGTAGATGCAAAGGATGTCTCTGAGGTCTTACTTCACATTAAGAAACAAATGGCTTTCTGCATACCTGTGCACAAAGCACACGGGGCCCATTGCGTTAAGATAATTTGCATCACGTATCACGGAAGTTCATGCCTGGTATAGTCACTGATGCCCAACTACGTCAACTCCAGATAAAAGGTCAGAGATCAAGGTCAAATATCTTGGCAGATTAGAAACACAAGCTGCTCTCAAATGCTGAGCGTAAGGAAGGATGGATCCTAACAAGTATCCTCATCTCCTTTGTTTGTACTTCCTCTACCTCTTTTTCTCTTCCCTCCAGCATGATGCCCCCAGAAGCGTCACATATAGTCAAGTTATCCTTCGTCCAGGGCCCTACTGAACCTTGAGGACCCAACACGAACTAAATCTGTTGGACATACCAGTCCAGGTTATGCCATTCTGCAGTATATATTTGCTCTGGATTAATTCACAATAAGATAGAGACAGCTAGTGACCGCTTAACAGATAAGCTGTGACACCCTAGTGTCTATGCCTTTGCTTATAAGGACTGGGCATGAGGTGAGTTCCAGGTAGAGAGGGGTATTTGTATGGCTCTGGGCTCACATCACAGAGGTGGAGAGATTTTTTTTCTCTGAGTATGAGAATGACCAAAGTGAAATGAAAGGTTGAAATATCTGATCTGGAACTCTTTCCTTAGTGAGACCTAGACTTCTGGTTTGGACCCAAGTGAAAATCCTATTTCTTTGCTTGCATGTCTTTATCATAAGAATTAAATGTCACTGGCAGGTTCATCTCTTGGTTTTCAGCATGATTTGTTCAGCTCACCCCACTGAGAGAAAAACTGAAAAGCATCTATTGAATCCACATGGGAGCCCTGCAACAGTCTATTTATTTGCTGTCGAATATTTTAAATTTTATGTAACTTGCTATTATGCTTTTCGAGTGCTTTTCTTTTTTTAAAAAAAAAAAAAGGGGGTGGACATAAACATAATACGTCAAAAAAGATGATGTTTCAAATCCAGTAGTGGTGCATCCCAACCATGGCACAAAAGACAACTAGGCAATGTTTATTTTGTGCTACAATAAAGACCAATTTTCCACCTGTTAGGTTTGTAATCATTTTTTTTAACTGCATTATATAAATAGGGAGACAGAGGAAAGAGAAAGCTTGCATCCACCCTCAATCAAAATCCAAAACATGATATCTGTTCTAGGAGGTGAAGGCAAACCGGTAATTTGGGCAAACATGCACCACAAATTTGTTAAATTCACAGGTAAGATAACTATTTTCACACCTCTCTGCATTTCTACCGAGTGAATATTTCTAATCTGGCCCTTCAGAGCACTCTATTCCAGTGTGATCCGTAACAAAGTGGAAGCTTCGCCCTTAAGTAATCGCCATTAGGCTACGACTCCACAAGGATTGTGGGAAAACGTGCTTGAGCAGTTGGGACTTGTGCAGAGCCACGCCAAGTGGGCACGTGCTGGACGTGTGGAAAAACTGGCGTGGGCACTGAGTGTGCTTGTGCTAGTGGAAAAACCGCCCACCTTCCTGAGTAGTACCCTCACCTGATGTTTTGTCGACTGCGGAAAAGGGGCCTCCGCTCCTGGCATCCCCTACTGGAGCAACATTGATAACCTTCTACCCACTGCTCAGAATGATGCGTGTTATGTTCTTAAATGGTCACAGAACGCCCCCTTCGGTGGTACGCGTGGTAGCACAAATTGTGTAAAATGATGGGATGCTTAAGAAAGCGTGTCAAGGTATTGTGGAAAATTTGGGAGCTTTACCATATCTGCGTTTTCCAAAAGACATAAATTTTGACCTCAATTTCCCTTTCCTTTCTTGGACATATCTTACATTCTACAGCATGCCTTGTCAAATGTTAAATTCAAATTTTCATTAAAAATTCATTAGAAAATATTAAATGTACATCCCTGTTTGGAGACATAAGCAATCTAAAACAATTTCTATCTGGATTTGTATATATCTTTAAAAGCCACATGCTCCTGAATAATAGAAATTAAACAGAGAGTAAATCATTGAGTCTAAACTGCATAAGGACTTGAAATTATAGTCATTACCATGTAATACAGTGTACAAGTTTAACAGCACACCTAACCTCAAAATTGTTGGCAGAAACGTATATCTAATCCAAGAGCTGCCACCTTTCTCATGGATGGCTTGGTAAAAATACATGTTCAGGCTGAAAAGCATGTAAGGTTGCCGCACGAAAGCAGGATGAATGTCTAGTTAAATTTGAATTTAAAACAAATAAACAGCAAGCATATTTTTTAGTATTAACACGTCCTAAATATTACACGGACTGTAATCACACCTTAAAAGTATTCATTGTTTATCTGAAATCAATCTTAACTGGGCAACCCGTGTTTTTATTTGCTAAACCTGACAGTCCTGCCACCATAAGGAAGTCTAGGAAAAGCCAAACACGCTGGACTAATTAATGACTATGAGAGATATCAACAATTTATCCATTTATTAGATTTTCTTTCTTCTTCCCCTCTTTTTTCCCTCCTTCCCTTTTTCCTCCCTTCCCACATTCCTTTCATCCGTCAGCACATATCATTTGTGTTTTCCTACAAACCAGACTCTGTTTAGCAATGGAAACATCTTAGTGAAGTGGCAGTTAAGCCAATTATGAGAGCAAACGGCGCCTGGCCTTGTGGCGGGCTCCTCAGCAACATTCCTTCACTTTATTCCCACCAGCAGCCCTACAGAGGTTGATTCCATCACGTTGTGGAGGGGGAAAAAAATGAGCCAGAAAGGTTCTTTATGAATTTTCCGAGGTTCCTGCTTATCCGATCCCTCGGATCTGGAAGGCCACAGCCCCATGGCAAGCACCAGGCTAACCCGGGGAACGAACTAATGACCAGGCAGAAGTCTGTCTTTGAGGATCCTTGCAGACACCCACATGGACAGCTCTAGGGAACGCACTCAATGAACACCCACAGGGACATGCACCCCGCCCACGAGGCAGAGACAGGAAGGAGCGATTCGGGAGCACTGGTCCTCATGGTGGCTTCTAGCCTCAACCCACCAGACGATAAATCACACCCCACTTCCTTATCTGTAAAATGGAATCATAAGACAGTTGTAAGAATTAAGTAAATACATGGCATGCGCGCGCGCGCGAGCACACACACACACACACACACACACACAGAGCACATTGTAGACGGTCTTCTGGGCTCTCACAGTGCCCTGTTGCATTCCCGGAAATGTGTAGGATTCAGTCTTCTTGCACTGACTCAGCCTGACACAGCCACCTTGAAAATCTCCACTGCCATTCGATTGCAGTGACAACGACCACAAAGCTGTCCCTCCCTGGCCTCTTTGCACAGGCCTCCTTTATTTTATTTTATTTTTTATATTTTGATTGAACCGGGGATTGCTTCCCTTGCGCTTGCCAGGGAAGCGCTTATTCCACTGAGCCATCTCCCCGGCCATAGAAATGAGTCTTATTTTTTATTTTATTTTATTTTTTATAGGGGCCTCCTTTTGTACACATGTGCCCCGAAGCTCAGAAGTTTCCTGATTTGCCCACGACCCGAGCAGTGAGCAGAGGTGGGGTCTGAGCCTCCTGGCCAGCACTCAGCACCTTACTCTTTCTTGGCTTCCCCTCTTGCCCACGGTTTCTAAGTACCATCTGGGACCACACATATCTTCCCCCAAGACCTCAGAGGAAAAGCTGTAAAACGTGGATAAGAATTGAGAAGAGAGAGAGGCTGCCCTGGGCCTCTTAGTGGCTCTGACTGTAAATCAAAACACAGTTATGCATCACCTAATGGCAGGGGTACATTCCGAGAAATACATCCTCGATGTGATTTCATTATTCTGCGAACATCATTGTGTACAATCTCCACAGCCATGAGCTCATCGGCTGATATAATCTTATGAAGCCACCAAGGTACAGCGAGTCCAGCACTGGCCGAAAATTCATTATGTGGCACGCGACTAACGCAGGGGCCTGGGGCATCAGTGTGCTGGTAATTTTAATTCCCTTTTCGTTCAGGTAATTAGGCAGCACCTTTACCCTACAATTGTCTAACCAAAGCATGACCCACATTCCAACGAAAATAGTTCCATCCTCCTGAATCTTAGGAATTCATTTTAAGGAAGAAAATGAGAAACAAGAAAACAGGGTCAAGTAGCAGGCTCTGGCATTTCTCAAGCAGCAAGAAACAAACGCGTCGTCTTTCTTCATGTTTGTTTTTGATCCCAGAGATGTGGCTTAAGTCTCTGTGTGTGTCGAGACACCTTGGTCCCCGTGGCACCTTCCCCCTCATTTAGGCTTTTGAATGCTCAATCCTGACGTGTATAATTTGGTGCTTTTAATATAGAGTAACATTATTTTTCATTTACTCCAATCTGCCTTCAGTATCATCTTTTCATCTAACCAGATGCAATTCCTTTTTTTTTTTTTTCCCCCTTTCGCTAAATTGAAAATCCATGAGCGACAGGGAGTGCGATGTTTTAATTAGCTCATATTTTTTATATGGATTTATGTCTTTAAAATACATTTGTGTAATTCCTCAGCTAAATTAAAAACGTCTTTCTGCGAAAGTGAGGAGAGGAATATAAAGAGCTAAATTGTGTCATCAGCTTAGGTGGATGAGGTGGAGGACGGACTCTAGCGGAGGGACGCTCGGCTGCCGGCGCCGCTCCCTGCGCTGAGTTTGAACTCGCCCTTCCTATAAGCAAGTCTTTCTTTAGAAAGGCGTCTCGGAAGGGCTGGAGGAGGAATTTTTTAAAGTCCCCTCGTAAGTGAACAAGCGGTACCTGCAGTGAGCCGATCTGAAACCGAACCTGCCGCCCAACAAAACGGAAAAATAGGAGTCCTAATGATAAACAGTTTTCTCCTGCATTTCTCTTTGTCTTCCTTTTAACTATCAAGTTTAAAGCTTTCCACGACGCGTTTTTTTCTACTTTATAGGAGACAAGTGACATTCCGTGGTAAGTGGGAGCAGAGCCGTGCAGAACTGAAATCTCTCTAATGCACTGACACTAACTTGCCCTCTATTGTTGGAAATGAGCAGGCGCTCATGATTGTTCATCAAACGACTCCTAATGCAGTTAAAGCATTCAGCTATAATTTCTCCTTGCATTTATAATTACTGTCATAGACTGCACACCTCGGTGAGCAGATTAAAGCTATAAACTATTTAGCCGCGGCTCCACGACGGGAACTTGATTTGTCTGGCAGGAGTTATTTGTTAGGGAGCTTGACACTTCACATAAAAATGACTCAACTTGATGAAGAACAATGCGGTTTTAGCAATGCGGGGATTTTAAATCAGTCATGAGGCCACACCCTGCAAGAATCACGGGGCAGTTTGTTAAAGGATATGTAGGCCACGGAGATAAGGGGATGCAGCGAGTGAGGGCATCAAAATAGAACGGGGTTGGGTGCGCAGCTGCTTTATGTGCCGGGCTCTTTTCTGGAAGAGGGGGCGTTGGTTGAAAATCGGTGCCTGTCATGCTGCCCTGTGCAACCCCGTGTAAATGTTACAGGAGGCTTGCTAGGTGGGGAGGCGGGGTGCCGCGGCCCACGGCGCTCGCACCGCATGTTGGGTGGTTTTTACGAAGCCCAGGAGCCCAAAGCCCAGATGCCAGTGTGATGTGGGAAGTGACTGCAAGGATTTGATTTTTTTTTTCTGTGATATTCATGTATTTCTTTGCTGCCTGCAGGAGACACGTGATATATATGGACCCGGAGAGTGTCCATTGTGTTGATTCTTTACTGTTGGCTATGTAATTAAATGAAAAATAGGTCGACGGCAGCTAAGGTATCTTTCAGTTGTTGGTACAGTACTCAATGACCAAGACCTGAGCGGGTTGTAGGCAACTTTGATTTGCTACGGAATCACCCCCCACCTACCCATACCTCACTGCTACAAAGAAAAAAAAAAAGAAAAAGAAAAAAAAATATATATATATATATATATTAGCATTTAGGATAAAGATCATAGAATATTTATGGACAGTGAGTGACAAATGCTCAAATATTAGGAGTCACAGATACCAGTGCTGCAAGGCCAGTGGGTGACACAAAGGGCCCAGTAGACTAGGCAGGGGCTACTGCATGTGAAAAGTGGGGGACTCTGTGCAGCTTCAGGAGTCTTCCAGAGAAGCAGGAGACC